CTTTAATTAAAGGCGATTTTCTCAATATTTAGATTTTTTTGCACCCTCAGATTCCAGATTTTTAAATAGTTGTAACTATCCTAACAAACCATACATCAGTGGAAAGCTTATTTATTTGAGCTTATTTACTTATGTATAAATCTCAATTTCAAAAAATGGACTCTTATGACTGGTTTTGTGGTCACATATGAAAAACAAAAATCCTTTGTGTTTACACTTTGTGAGATGGGACACTGATGCTAGATAGGACCGATTTTGGTGTGGGATTTCACATGAATTCTGTTCATTTTATTCCATTAACGTCCAGGTTAAGAAAGAATCTCAAATGTCTGATCATCGCGCATCCCTCCTGGTTCATCCGGACAGTTCTGGCCATCTCACGGCCCTTCATCAGGTCCAGGAAACACTGAACATCACATAAACACCCTCAACAGTGTGTAGAATGTGTTTTAATACACTTGAATTCCTCTGCAGTGTCAAATTCATGGAAAAGATCCGGTACGTCCAGAGTCTGGAGGAACTGGCTCAGATCGTTCCCATGGAGCATGTGCAGATTCCCGAGTGTGTGCTGCAGTAAGTGCCCTCCACCAGCACGGGGAGACACACGGATGTCTTATGAGAGAACTTCATTTGTACATGCAAACTAAAACACATTAGGGCAGGATTGAGTTTTGCAGAAATTGACATTGCACAATAACATGGTATCACTATGTTGCATATTTAACCCTGTAAAGCCTGACATATGAAGTAATAGTACGAAAAAATCACTTTTTTTAAATGTAAAAGTTTATTGAAGCTTTAGACTGAATATCTGTATCATTTTTGATACGTCAGGCTTTTATGGCTCATATAGTATGATATAGTCCGTTTTATTCAGAGACTCAAACTGAGCAAAAATATGCAATTTGGTGCAGATACTGATATTTATATGGAAGTGATGAAAGTCTGATGCTAATTGTAAATGTAAATCAATGAGATCTTTATAACAGATAGATATAGCAGATACTGACATAAAATTATACAAATATCAGTCGTCACTCTATACCTGCGACTGCCAATAATGTGTCTTAGTAAGATGAGATTTACATGATCCAAACATACAATGCAATGCAATACAATGAACAATGATGATCATATTTGAGACTCACATTTGAACATGATTTTATGGACAATCAAGAAAAGTGAAGCTGCTACAGTCCAGTCTGTGTTCATCTTGAAATATTAATAGTTATTTGTACATTTACTTAGTAAGATTTGACAGCAAAAAGAACTGCGAAGCACGAGCTGAAGGAGGATGTTTGTACAATTACATTAAAAGAGCTTTTAATTGATAAAAAAACTATCAATCAGACGACAGAAGGCATGGAGTAGATTGTGTGCGACAGGTTTAACGGCAAAGTTAGAAACTAGAAATGTATTCATAGGGTTCAAATATGAATAACATAATAACACAGCACACATACTGCATACTGTAAAAATAGGAGTATCAGGGCAGATCTGAACACAGTCGTAGATTTCTCTGTTGAAGGTGTGAGGTTTTAGAAATGCACAGTGTTTGTAATGCGATAACAGAGTTTGTGTTCTCTTCTCTCTGCAGATGTGACGAGGAGCGAATCAAAGCGCAGAGAGAAAGGTAAAACCGCAGGGGGTTGTGGGATGGTATGGCGTTACGTGATCTGAGTACTCTGGCCTTTACATGATTCAAATGTTAAACAGGCAGCAGGAGAGTTGCTCTCTCTCTCTCTCTCTATATATATATATATATGTATATACAGTATGTATATTTATGTATATGTAAGTATGCACAGTTATTGCACAGTCTCAGTTGGTTTTGTCAGCCGTTTGGTGTGCACTAATATGTACCTTTGATTGTATCTTCACAGGCTTGAACAACTGGCCAAGACATCAGAGAGGTGAAACTCTTTACATCCACATATACAGTGAAGCCCCGCAGTGTTTGATGTATGTGACATACAGCTTCACTGGACTTTCTGTCTGGAGGCACAGGCTACATCTCAATTTGCATACTGCATACTAAAACTTTATTTCACTGGTCATAGAGTAGTATATACAATACACTGCTGAAAAATGTAATACTAAGAAAAAGATAATGCTTCTATTTATCAAGGATGCATTAAATAGATTTTTTTTTTAAATGGTAAAGACACTTATAATTTAAAAACATCTATTTTTAATAAATGCTGTTCTTTTGAAATTTCTATTCATCAAAGAATCATGAGAAAAAAATATTATGATATTATTTAATATGATATCATAATATTTAGTATAATTTTATAAGATTTTATTTAATAATGTGAGCAGCTCAGATGTTTTCAACATTGCTAATAATCAGAAATGTTTCTTGTGCATCAGATCAGCATATTAGAAGGATTTCTGAAGGATCACGTGACACTGAAGACTGGAGTAATGATGCTGAAAATCCAGCGCTGCATCACAGGAATAAATTATATTTTAACAGATATTCACATGGAAAACAGTCATTTTAAATTGAAATGATATTTGATAATATTACTGTTTTTACTGTATTTTTAATAAAATAAATGCAGCCTTGATGAGCAGAAGAGACTTCTTTAAAAACGTTTTAAAAACTTACAGACTCCAAACCTTTGAACGGTAGTGTACTTTTGGATGTAGTATTACTACATACTACTGACCACCATTGTCAAATCCTGTATGCATATGCATGCATTCGGTAGAATTTAAATTCATAAACTTATCCCTCATTATTATTTAAAGTTCAGACTTGTGTATTATTGATGCAGCAGCTTCACGTTCCTTGCCACACAATTTTGTTCCTTTTTCTCACAATTGTGAGTTTATATCTCGCAATTCTGAGATATATATTTTTGTATAGAATTTTTTTCTAAGAATTGTAAGAAAAAAGTCTGAATTATGAGGTAAAAAGTATATATTTTTTATATATATATTTTTATTTCATGGCAGAAATTGACTTCCACAGTTATATTACTGTATTTATTCTTTTTAATTTAAGTTTTATTTATCTACATTTTCTTATTTAATCAAATTTGTATTATTTAATCTTATTTGTATTATTTATTTATTGGTAATTTATTTAAATTTTTTTACTTATGTATTTTGTAATTTTTATTTATTTTTATTATCTGTATTTATTTATTTGTTTGTTTGTTTAACTCTATTATTTATTTTAATTATATTTTTATTTATTTGTAGCCTATATAATTTTTTATTTACTTTAGTCTTGTTTTGTAATTTTTTTTTTTGACCAAATTTTACCAATTATGGAAGTTAAATGTGTCGATGTGTTGACTTTTCATGTTGATTTTAAATGCAAATGTTCAAATCTGATGCGATTGTTTAATATGCATGACATAAATGCAGCGAAATCGGATATGATTGTGTAACGTGCATTCACACGGTTTGTTTTGAATGCATTATTTTGCAGGCCGCCGTCTGTGGCCGCGGAGGCCTGTCCCTGACGCGTCTCATTGGGTAAGAGAGTGAATGGCTGACTGTAACAGTAGATTCAGCAGTAGGGGGGGTTTAATGACCTCTGGACCTTACGCCATATTTGGGGTCTCTGAATGGCGAGAGGAGCAGCATCTCGTCTGCTCTGTTACATAAAGCACATCTGCTGCTCTCTTCAGAACAGCAGCCGCAGCGACCCTGCCGCCCACCACTGCTATTTTTGACCAGACTACTGACCGGCACAAGGCCGATATCCCAGCAGAAGCATATCGTCCTGCGTGTCCGTCTTACTTCGGTTTAGAGAGGAACTTAAAGGGATAGTTCACCCAAAAATTACAGTTCAGTCATTATTTACTCAAACCTGCATGCTGTTATTTTTTATTTCATTCTAATAGCTCCTTCTCATAGCAATTTCCTTCTCAATGGCTGTCAAGGACAAAATCCCCATAAAGGTAGTCCATATGACTGATGGGCTTTATTCCAAGTCATCTGAAGTCATATGATAGCTTTGTGCGAGGAACACACTGAAATTTAAGTCATAAGGCATGTGAAAACCTACGAAGGTGTCATTGACGTCCACCTTGACATGACATGCATTATACTGAGCATGTGAGCTACAGCAAAAAGGAAGCTTCTGAAGGGTTTTTTTCTAATTATAGTACTGTACTGTTTTATATATATATACATATATATATATATAGAAGCCCATTTCTGTCATGGAATAAAAAATAAAAAGATAATTGCTTTTTTCCTCAGAATTCTGAGTTTACATCTCACAATTAAAAAAAAATAGTTTTTTTAAAGGTCATTTAAAATTTTTATCTCACGGTTCTGATTTTTTTCTCACAATTGTGAGTCTATGTCGTGTACTTAAAATATACATACAGTAAATATTTGACATATTAAAATAGACATTTATATATATATATATATATATATAACATTTTTATATATTTATATTAATTTAATAAGATGTATGTAATATATTTAAAATCATATTTTGATCA